CATAGAATATTTTACTACTGAATGTTCTACATGTTGCCTGGAATTTTTCCCACTCCACAAAATTTACACTTCAAAAATGAATGGCTTTGTCTTTTTAGTGCATTCTTATTCTTTTATATTGATCAAGCCTGGACTCTTCCCTTCTACTCTTGCTTCACAGCAATATCAGAGAAAGATTTTTAGAAGTTAAATCCTTTGCTTAAATTGGGTCATGTCCAAAGATTAGACAAGATGGAAGTTATTTTGGAATATTTTACTTTTTTTTTTCTGCTTCTTCAGTACACTACTGACATAAGGGATTTTAGTTTTCCCACTACCTTCCATCTAAATGCTATTAGCTTTTAAAAGTGATGTGTAAAAATCAATAGCACTCACTCACAGTTCCAGATAAAGAAAATCTAGCAGCGCCTGTAGTTTAGACTTTGGCTCCTCTAAATAACCTTGAAAGAATTGGAATGAATCAGTTGGGATTGTACTGGAAAGCAACCAGAACCAGAAAGACTAGATTGCAAAGGACACTGCTCCCAAGACATACATTTTTAGTAATATGCAAAATTATAACAAGATGACTGCCACATCACTCCACCTCCGGGGTGAACAAATGTACTGTCTGAATTTGCAAATTAATGCATTCTGCTGTGTGTTAGTATTTCCAAGCCCACACAAAAACTCTTTGCAGAAGATCGATAATGCCTTAGTGCCTGAAAAAAATGTTTACTTTTAATATAATAGTTATTTCAAATTCTAGTGGCTTCTATGAGTTGCTAAATCAGAAAATAGGCTATTCTATGCTTTTCACTTTCTTGGATAAATACTTTAATGATAAAATGTTAAATGAATGATCTAGCAGTGTGAATTAAAATAACATCTAAAAGCATGTTCTGTAGTGCTTGAAAACTTTACTTGTATTGCTGAAATCAGAGTGTTAAATCACAGAAACTGTTCCTTTCCAGGGGTTCTCTTTTCTTTTCTTTTTTTTTTTAAGCCTACAGTCTTAGGTTTACAGCAATCCACTTACAATATAGAAATGCTACTAGAAATATTATTTAAAAGTTAGAGGAATTTTGCAAGAAAATTAATTGGTTTTTCCTAGTCTGTTCATCCAAGGAATGTGATGAAATTTATCTTGTCAGTACTACACAATAGCAAGAAAAGTGAAGAACTTTATTTATTAGGATATCAGCACCACATACTTTTGTTCTGTCTGTTTTAAAATGTGAATCATTTTTTCATTAAGGACTGATCTGTTCGAATAGAATAATTTGCCTTTTGCTTGCATGTAACCAGGACTCCAAGCAGGAATTTCTGAGACTGAAGTCAAGGGCGCGATTCCCATTGACACTGATGGATGGTTGATTCCACCCGAAGCGTTATGCAAGATCACACGAATAAAGACTGAGATGTATGTTAGTGTAAATACACACTTTGACAACAAAAGTCAGGTATACTGGATAATGTTAACTTAGGAGACAGCACTAAAATGAAATTACAGTAACTTAAAAATGCTTCAGTTTACTGGATACCTGCACATCTCTTCAAATCTGGTTTATCTGCAGTGTGTTTTCACTGTATTGTATTCTAGGGGTAATTTGACACATGCTTTTGTGATTTCTTAATATAAATAAGTTTCTGCTTCTTTTACCTCATGCATAATTTTTTTACATGATAAAAATTATAATGCTTATCCTGCCAGCCCTGAGAAATGTTAGCAGTCCCTCTGAAGTCAACAGGGTAATTCATGTGGAAGAAAAGCTATTCATATGCTTGAAAGTTTTCAGGATCAGGTCTTAAATTTGTTGCATGACTTCTTCTCAGTAGTGAGAACACATATACCTTTAGAACTGGCTTGCAGTCATTCTACGTGGTAGAGAAATGTATGTCCTCCAGCTTTGAAAAACTGATATACTGATGGAGGAAGTTATACCTTATGACTATATCACGTTTTCACTCCATGACAAAACAAAATGTATATATTTCTGGAGAAAATTCACTTTTATATGAAGAAAAATAATTAATACTAAAGTGAATAGTGGATGAAATTATTAGACAGGTGAGTGAACATAACTATTTTTTCATAATTTACCTGGTAGTTAACGCTGCATGGACCATTTATTTATTTCATGCAATACGTGGCAGAAGTAAAAAGAAGTACATTGGGTACCTTCTTTGTCTTGTCTTTTCCTTTTGTTCCTCGATTACTGAAAAGTTTTTATTTACCTCTGTGCTCTTACTGCTGCTTGTTTTGGATTGTTTTTGATTGTGTATATATTTGTAATGAGGTCTTTACAACCACATCATGCAGGTGTTTACATCTAAACATATGATTACCTGCATAAATGTATCAAATTTTCATAGACTCCAATGCTTGATAGGACTGGGCTTTCCGCAGTTTCTCCATTGACTTTAAATGGGTTTTAGATGAAGCCATTAATACATTTCTTTTAGATTAAGGTACTTCAGTATTAACTTACTCAGTTTTATCTTTCTGTTTTTTAATACAGAAGTTCAGCTGCAGCTATTGATTTATATGCAGTTTTTAAGCTCAGCTTATAGGTCTGTCCTTTTCCCACAGTGGTGAGAAGCAACATAAGAATAGAAATATCATCCCCATAAAGAAAATGAAGCTTTTTCTTATGCTTTCTCATCTTACAAAAGTACAGAATTTACAGGTTCACATGGTACTAACGGCAAGGAGTGACTTCTGGGCTATATGCCCAATTACACTATGATTGGAAGTCCTTCAGGAACAGATTAGACAAGCATCTGGTTGAATTAATGTAGGTAATAGTCTTTAAATAGGGGGATGGAAATTATGGTCTCTAAAGGTTTCCCCAAGCATTATTCTTTAATTTAATTGTTTCCAATTGTCGAGTGCCTACAATAGATATATTGTGAATTTTAAATTGCAGTTAAGATCTCAAGAGATTTGAATGTAGATCACATAAACATAAGGGTCACATTTATTAGAAGTGAAAAAGCAGTATGACAAAGTTTGATAAAATGCTGATATTTTTCATATCTAAAAAAAAAAGGAACAAACTAGGGGAGAAGAATGACTCCTTTGGATAGTAATGCTGTTAAGTTAGGGAAAATAAGAACGTTCAGTTCTTTTTCCTGTGGCCCAATATGAAAAAGAACCACCAGTAAGCAACATCACTTAGTTCTGATAATATTGTGTGTGGACACAAAGAAGATTTCCACTTGCTCTAGTTACTTAGCTGAAAAAAAATTTGTTCACAGTGGTCTCAATGGCTGAGAAAGTAGCTTACTAAACGCTGCTATAAAATTTTTACAGTAGTCTCTCTGAGAATGGATAGTATATAGACTTCATCATTTCCACAAATTCTTATGGTTCCATTTATGTTAGCTTTGCGAGAGAAAAAATATGAGGCACATTACCAGTGAAATAATTGAGAATTTTGTTCCTGCTCACTCTGTGGAAATGGAATTTGTATAGAGCATATAAAAGTTATATAATTTGAATAATAATGGCAGAAATAAAGCTATTGGGATAAATGGAAAATAAAAGAATCTTTCACATTTCAAGCAGAAATGAAAGAATACAATGAAATAGTAGTGTATACCACAAGCAGTGCTACAGCGTATGGCTTGATGGGCACCCGCAATAAATTTTATGTATATTTGAAATTATATCTCTACAATGCTGTAGTCCATGAAATTGCTGCAATAGAAACAGCAGTGGAGAAATTACAGTAGAAAGATAATTCAACACATTTAAATTGATATCGCTGAAAAATATAGCATTATTGGCAGATAATTAGGAATGTTACTAAAAGTACAACTGGAAGGGAAAATGTGAAATTATTTCTACAGGATTTGTGTTAGGCGTAAACAGTCATAAAATGGATCAGAAGAACTCATATAACTTGGAATATGTTATATCCCAGGAGAGAACCATGCAAATGCACAGTAGAAAGAAAAGAAAAGAATAAAATAGAAGGATGCTATCTCAAGACACCTTTTCAAAGCTTGCGGTGGGTCCTTTAAAGTCATTCCATTCTTCTTCTCCCTTTGACATCCCTTTTTTTTTCCTCCATAAAGAAAGGCTCCAGACCCTTCTTCTGGGGTATGGAGGGATAGTTCAGGCATAAGGACACCTTCTTTTATTTAATTCAGGAGTGCTTAACATCCAGTCTAGGCTTCCTCAGCCATTCCTATCGTTGCTTGTTGAGATTCTGTGAATTTTCAGCTCTGCATTGGTAACTCAGATCCATGCACGTTTCCCTTCTGGTGTTCCCCATTCTGGGGGAAAGAGGTAGAACGTACACATTTCCACCTGCCACAACTTGTATCAACTAGAGCAGGAACAGAGGAGCCCTGCTTTCCTTGCAACGAAATGGTGTTGATCCAGAGCCTTTAACGGTTTTCCTTCCTCCCTCCTCTCCAGTCCGGCAGAAAATATTTCCTAGCGTCATTTTTTCTTTCCAAACACTCATTTTCATTTTTCCTCAAGTTGTTATCTGTTCAAGAACTTCAGAAACCTTGTAGAGTCACATCGTATTTGCTAGCTTCCAGGTAATACTGTCCGTGAACTGGATGTCCATAGTCTTGTTTGCAACTGAACGATATGCAATGGAAATGGGGTTAAAAGCCTTTAAGCAGTGCTGATTCTGTCTAAAGCTACATTGCAGTGTATTCTCCCGCCACGGGGAAAAATTGAGATATGGACTTAAGGCCAATTTGAATGGAAACAATTCACCTTAATGCAGTGTTTTGCAAAGAGTAAATTGCTTATATTTTTTTGGAGTCAGATGCACAAAGAAGATAATTCTTCGGTGTGGTATGTTGGCTTCCTAATGTACTGTGCCAATCTTAGTATGAGGGAATTTGCAATTTTCTTAGGATAAATGTCTCATCATTCCCTTTTTCATTTTTAGAATGCAACTTCATCTTATGAAAACAAAAGATAAAACTACAAATTCAAGTCTGATGTATGTGTTAAATATGTCTTGTAAATGTATATTGATTTGATTTTTCAGCTGATCTAATGATAAAACTTCCTGGACAATACTGCACCTTATGAGACTGAGGGACATCATAGCTGGCGAAATGGCAGATGAACATCAAGACAGACAAAGGTAAAATGATGGACAATACTAGCTTCACGCATAAAATGATCGTAACTGTTCAGGAGTTCGACCCTAGGTTATGAAACATCTGTGCAAAATTTCAGCTTAATACTCTGCAGTAGTCAAAAAAGCAAATCAGGTGTTAGGAGTTATTTTAAAAGTAATATGAAATAAAATAGAGATTGTTATGCCATTTAAAATATCCATAGTTCTGCCACACCTTGAATAGTATGTGAAGTTGTAATCCCATTATCTCAGGAAAAGTTATATTAGAACTAGAAAAGGTTCAGAGAAGTGCAGCGAGGACGACCAAAGCATCCATCAGCTTTTTTATAAGGAACAACCGAATAATATGGGATTTTTCAGTCTAGAAAAAAGACACAGTTTAGGAATCGCTGTAGCAGAATCCTGTAAAATTGTCAGTGACATAGAAGGATGAATAAATTCAGCAGCAATTTTAACACAAGAACCAAGGCTAGCAGGAGCCAAGTTCAAAGCAAGCAAAATTCTTCAGACCACAGGTAACTTGTCTGTGGAACTCTTCACAAGAGGATGTTGCGGATACAAAAAAGTTCAAGTGGAGCCTGGACTAGTACTTGTAAGAGAAATCCACTGAGGGTTTCTAAATAGAAAAAGCAAAGGAAAGCCCCTGAGCTGAAAGTAATCAGAGGCTGGGAAAGTACTTCCAGAGGGTATCATATATGCTTGCTCTGTTCTTATTATTCGTTGGGCATTGAACGTGTCAAGTCCTTTGGACAAATAAGAAGGTAGCTGTGGCACGCTGATTGCGTTTGTTCTCATGTAAAGGTCAAGGGTGTGTTTTCCACAGATGCTGAGGGCTTCCCTCAGTGTGTCTTTAGGTCAATCTGATGTTACCTTTTTGTTAGTATTTCTTCAGATGGGATTGCTATGAATACAAAGCAGTTACAATAAATCTTACTAAATTCATTTTCTTAGCAGGATGGGGAATTCATCCATGGAAGTTCTGCAAAGGGTGAACATTTTTTTTCAGATGAAAATGGGACGCACGCAATGATACGTCTGGGTAGTGATATATCTTCGCCTTCAGAAAGCACGGGAGAAAAAATTAAGTCATATATGAGCTAGTCAGTTCAGGGATACATTAGCTGCCTCAACCCAGTTATATGCCAATGCCTCATTTGCTCATATAGGAATATAAATCATGATAGATTTTACCTTTGCAACCGTTTGATACAGTATATAACTGAGGATAGAATGTGACCCATAGAACTAGAAATCTGTTTATTCATTTTTTGGACTGGTAAATTCTCTCTGCAATTGTGATGCTTAAAATAATGTCTAAATTCTTGGAAAAAATCCACAAATATATTGATTTCTTGATGGATGTCTACATATTTACCTACAGCAACCTGTTTGTAAAAAAGCTCACATTATACTTCTCTCTCTACCTTTTCCCACACAATCCAATTTGCTATATAGCAGCTGCCAGAATTCATGGATGACAAACTCAAGGTTTTTCACAGAAAAGCAGTTCATAAAAATGTCCTTGATCTTGTCATCATGGTCGTCATCTCTTGTGCTTATCATTATACTGACTATACTATTAATTATTGTGAATGAAGAAGTTCTGTGAAAATAGCCATGTTTTCAGCACACCATTACTGAATTTCATGATAAATTTATGTAATAGCAGTAATATAGAGAACATAGTTATTGAATTAAATTGAAAGACAATGAGGTTAAGGGAGCAAAGCAATTAATATCTCTTCCCTTATGCTCTGACAACATGAACAGTTTCTATTTCTGGATGGAGCAGGAAATCTTTTTTTTTTTTCCTTCAAATCCATGTGAAGCACTTTTCCTGAATTTTAATACTCCGACCTCAAAAGATATATTGAACTTCCTTAGGGCTGATGTTCAAATATAATAAAGCTTGAAGCTTTCTAATTCATATGTGGTGGAAGAAACTCTAAGCAGTCAACAGCATAAATACAAACATAAATATCCTCCTTTTGAACGCAGGTTAGCAGCAAAGTTCTTTTTTAGGGCCACACTCTGCCCTGATTTACTGTTTGTGAAATATAATTGATTAATGTCTGCTCTCAGAGAAAACATAAAAAGCAGTAATCAATCTAGTGCAATATTTATATGTGGAAAGCCAAATAAGATCAACCCAAATCTGCATATGAACTAAAGTACTGTAACACTAGTTAATTCTAACAGGAGAGCAAGACTTAGGTGATGATGGGTATGTTTTGCTTCTCTTAAATAGTCTAGTGACAAACATGTGTTCCCATCCATTTTCATACAAGCCAATATAGTGGGACACCAATGTTCACCTGAGTCCGTAGATTCTCTTATACAAAAAATATTTGGTCTAGGCTGCGGAGCCATAATTCTGTCATCTGATCAATCCCCCAGTTTCAGGAAAAATCGTGTGTGTCAGTGGGCAGAATGCTATTGATTGGGAGGACAACTAGAAAGGCAGAAAGGGGAAAATGGAAAACCTGTGGAATCCATTTTGCCTGTTTAGCACTGTGACACACAAGCACCTTCATAATTGTCCATTAATCAAAGAACTGTTTGATAGAAAGGGCAAAATGTGAATGTACTCACGCTCACTAGAACTGGGCTGGAAAATGGCTCCCAGAAGGTGAATAAGGTACACAAAGGACATAGCTCTTGGTATGTGAGAGTAAAGGCTGGACGACAGGCTTTACGGAGGAGGAAAATGAACCCTTGTCATTTGCTGTAGTCAAAATTAGGGTATACACCGAATTCATGGCAAATACAGAGTTCAAGAGTTTCTTAAAGAAAGGTAGCACACAAGAGGCTCATGTGTTGAAATACAGGGAGCCCTTGATGTGTGCGGTAAATCTGGCTTACAGAGACTACAGAATATGTGATCTCTCAATAAGTGACAGGATATTCTTGAACATTTTATATGATATTAAATGAAAAATAATTGGCTTTGGGAAAGAGCTGCTGCGATTCTCTCAGCAATCTAATTAATGATTCCCCTCATCTGCGTACAGTTCTCATCTCCCACATACTTCCCATTTAAATTATCTCCTGCTATATGTGGTGACCTCTGACCGTATTAATACAATATGCAAAGTAACTTAGTGCTGTTATGAAACATTTTGTTTCATCTCTCAGACTGAGAAAGTTTCATAGGAAGCAGACAGAATGCAGACAGTGGCGGGAGGTCTTTGGAAAACACTGGAGGCCATCATCTGCCGTGTGGGAAAGGGTGAGAGCTCGGGGAGATGGTGAGAAGGAGGCAGAAGTGTCCAACCCTCGCCCCCCACCAAAAATTTCTTTTGCACTTTTCCCAGCTGCTTCTAAGAGACCTTCCTCTTCTGCTTTGTTGTTCATGTAACCTATTCTGGAAATGATTAGGGGACAGAGTAGCTGAGTCGGTATTGAGGAACAGCAGAGAGAACGATGGTTGGAAGATGTATGTTTTGGACAACAGTGGAGTTGCTTTGTTAGCACTCTTTGTGTACTGAGAATTAGTACTCTGTGACTAATTCACCATTGATTTTGAACAGTTCATAAAAATTAATGGAGAAATAATAGGCTATGAGGGCAGGGTATTGGGGTGTAAGAATTATAAAAATCTAGATTCAGCCACTGGACTAATCATTGCTTCTCTTCAAGGGAAAGGATTGGAGAGTACTACAAATTCTGGTGATGCCAGTTCTTGAGTCTTTTAGCATCTGGCATAAGAAACAAGTACAATTTATAGTGTAGTTTGTGATGTCCTAGCAAATGCAGCATTTAAAAAAACCCTGAAACTTAACTAATTGCTGTTACGAAAGGAAGTGGAAATATTGCAGAATAACTTGAAGCATATAAACTGGTTTATTTGTATTCCCTGTTACATTAAGAGAGAGAAATACACACAAAGATGCAGAGTGCCTGAAAAATATTGGATATGTTTATATCATAGGAGATTAAGCAGTATTTCTGCTTGATTTTTAATTCAACTTGAAACCAGAGTTACGAACACATTTCTAAAGCATACTGAAAAGGGAAAATTGGAAGGAAGTATATACTACGGAAAATAAAATGTTACCTTGTTTTTAACAGAAAAAAACCCTCTTTAAAATATAGTAATCAATGAAAACTCCATTTTTTAAAGTTTAGATCAGCTTTAAACTAAATTAATTACACTTGGAATCATGGAATTAAATTAAATTAGTAGCTTCATAATAAAATCAACACACTGATTTATAAGCATCCTAACACAGGGATATAGTTTCATTTTCAACAGTTACTGGGAAGCTTAACTTTGAAAGAGGTTTTAAAGTGTGGAAACCTTTTAAAATACATTAATACATTTGCAAAAATCTTTCTCTTCTTTTCCTTAAACTTTGAGCTTCAACTGTCATTTTTACTTCAGTGAAAATATTTAACTTCTGATGATTTAGGGTACAGTCCTCAGCCACTTAGATAAAGGACAGTTATTCCCATTGATTGAAGTGGGTACATGATTTAATGCTTAAAACAGACAAAATCTCTTAAAACTCTCAAAATCTCTTTAACTTGAGAATGCTAACATTTTACTGAAGTGCCATGGTGTTTCTGTACCTCACCAAGTGATTCTCATGCATGTAGTCTTTTTAGTCTTTTCACTTGACATATGTCATTATTTTTTCATTATACAATTTAATGGCTTTATTCCCTAGTTGTACTGAAATAGATTTCAATACAGTTGAGGCATGGCCCCAGTGAAGATGTACATGTTCTCCCCCCTCCTCCTTTTTTTTTTTGTGAAAATGTGATTTCCACCAGCTTTTAAAAGCTGGACGTATGGTATGGTCCATTGTATGGACGTATTTTGTATGGTCCATTAGTTTGGAAGGCATCAGCCAGAGCACAGCACATTTCCACCTCTCTCCCTCATCTAAGAATATCCCTAGTTTGTAGGGAGTTCTCTTGGAGAAAAGCTGGGAATAGCAAACTACGAAGAAGGCAGCTGAACGAACGAATCCAGGATGATGGAGAGAAAGTACGATGTTTGTCTATGGATCAGATGAAATAAGCAGCCGAAGCCTATTTTTGCTTTTCTACTTTAGTAATGACATTCTGTCAACTGCTTAATGTTGTATGATATATGACGATGATGATAACAGGGGTTCTCAAACTGGGCATGCTTTTCGCCATCATCATCATCAGTGGTGGTACTACACTGGCAATAGCAAGAGTTCCTGCCTCTTTGCTGGGCCACGTTCATGCACAGGAGAGTAAGTCCCACCTTTCTCTCACCAACGCGCATTACTGGGCTCTCGACAATCAGAGGAGGACTATAAAAGGCTCCTTGTGGTCCTAAAATTTTGGAACCTACAAACACACCTCAACCTTGATCTGCAAGGCACACTGCTCAGCCCAGTCATGTAAGGCGCTCTCCTTCATGAACACTGCTTGCTGCCAAATTGCGTGAATTTTAGAACAAATGAAAAATAACCAGTTTGCTGTTTGTAGGCAGGCATTTACAGCATCGAGGAACAGATCCCCATTAGTGCCTTTCCACACAGGGCTGAGAGCTGCCTCATCACTCTGTAGCTTATTATGTTGCAGGCGTTTTCCTATCACAGACTGGGAGCTCTTAGTCCACAACAGAAAACTTAAGCAAAAAGTTAAAAACAGAATTTAGAGGATCCGTAGGAAAGAATTAACTTGCTGCAGCAGCTTATATTACTTCCTGTTTAATTCTAGTTTTAGGTGTTTAGATCTTCTGATGAACATGGATTAAGACTTACCGGATTTGAAAAGGCAGAAATTTGAAAGGGTGGTGGTGGAGCGGTCACAGTGAGAGCAGCCATTCTCAGTGAGCTTTGACTGATTTGAGTCATGAGAGAGTGAAAAAAGAGCAATATTTAGAATAGGATATAAGTTTAAAATATTGGATGGAAGGAGGAGTCATATGGTTATTTCTTCCATGTAGGCAGGAAAAGAACAAAGTTTTTAACAAACTGGAAGAGCAGACAGTTTAAGCTGTTAAGGGCAATCTGAACGGTAGAAGGCCGTAAGTGACGAAGTTATGTATGTGGTGTTTTCTTGTGTGCAGGTTCTTAATTTAAAATAATCTAATCATTAAATACTTTAACATGGCAAGGAAGAATATTTTCCTCAGAACACTCCATAAATGAAATCTGATCGGCTTCTGGAAACAGCAGTTGAAATCTCAGTGCAAAACAATGAATATTAAAATGAAACTCGAAATTTCACAGGGCATTAAATATCTTGTCCTTGTAAACTTTGTGGTAGGGTACTTTTTCAAAATAAACAGCTTTGCAAAACTCAGAGGCCTGGTATCTGGCAAGCTTTGTTATTTTCCTGAGCGCACAGGAATTTTCAAAAGATTCCATGAAGGCCATAATGCTCGAGCTGGGATTAAGCCCTGGAAGTCCTTTTTGCCTCGCTTGGAACAGCATTCATGCATGTACATCGCAGTGTCATTACAAAGTTCAGGCCGCCGCATTCCTTTCCTGTTTTATGTACTTGACATACACCAGGGTATGTCTGTGTTTTTCTTAATGATTAATAGTACAAATGCGTTTTACATGTAGCAATTATCCACTTTCTTCTCTGCTGCAGCCTCGAATAATTGTCTGGAATTCCAACCACCCCAAACAGATGCACTTTTAACTTCTGAGCTGTGGAAGACTGTAGTTTTCCCTGTTGCCTTGTGTTCTTCACTTAAATTCTAGAATATGTGGAGTCAAATTAAAGGGTAATGAATTGCATTTTTTAAGTTGGAAGTCATAACTTAACTGGAAAAAGTCCCTATAGCTTTTACATACAGAACCAAGTCTCCACGAGCTGTTAGGTTGCTACAGCCTTTTTCGAAAAATCAGGGGAAGGCAGGAGCAAAATGAGTATTTGTGGAATATGTCCATTTCCTATTAAACTTGGTATAAAAGTTGAGGAGAGATTCTACAAAACAAATTGTGAATCATAGTAACGCAAGACTCTGATTAGTTCTATAATCGAGTGCAATTCTTAAGTGTCTGACAGGGCCCTGTAATCTTAATTGGAACTAAATACATGTCCGCTGCTCATTGATGAAACCATCTTTACAGAGGGGAAAACTTTTCACACAGAACGGTTCAGACCTCCCTGCGCAGTGCCAGGACTCCACCCTGTAGGGTGCTAAAGGCAACGGGGTGAATGGCCGAAGGGAGCTGCTGTCCTGGCAGCGGATCGTTAACTCCAGCCCCGTGACAAGGGAGGAGTCGCACGTTTCTGTGAACGAGTGACGCTGGCAGGTTGCTGAGGTGTGCCTTAGGTCACAGCTCAGGACAAGATGGTTAGCATGCGTGCAGGTCAATCCTCAATGGGTTTAGGTTGCAAGCTCTCAGTTAACACATTAGCAAAATCTTTCTAATGTTAGGGATGGATAACAGACCAACCGCACGGATTACCCGTGGCGGTTTTAAGGAAAAGGTAATCAAATGTCTCTTGAAACTAGCATGGCATATCATTGGGGGAAGAGGAGAGAGCAGATGACTTCTCAAGGCCTCTTTCTGCTGTATTCTTTCCAATCCTTTGTCCTTCAAGGAAAGGTTTCTAGAACAATCTGGAAAGACGCAGTATGTTCCAGAGCTCCCCCAGGAAATGGCCCTGGGCAAGCAATCAGGAGCTCAAAATCTTGCAGAAGCCCCAGCACTTACGCCTGCCACACTTTCTCCTCCACATTTATGATTATAAAAGGGCTTAACAAACTTTTAAAGCTTTTTTTTGGGTAAGTTTCCAAATAAGAAAAAAAAACCCTTTTATTTCTTTAAAGTCATAGACCTGTGTTATCTCAGTTCCGTGAATGCTAACACTCCTCCGAGCAGGGAGCAAGGAAAGTGCCAAAGGAGTTTTGCCTTGGCACAAGTGTTAGCACAAGGTCTGTTTATAACATTTATAGAGCAGTGCTCACAGCCATCACCCAAGAGCGGCGTTTTGTTTTCCATGTTCACTATGGGTATGCCTATACAGATACACAGGAGATGCCCACAGCCTCCGTGAGGCGAAGATATCGTAACAAGGGTGCTGAACCAGGGTCGTTGGTTCTGTCAAGGGGAGAGGGGGGGCGAGGCAGAGGCTCCTCGCGGCAGCCGGCCACCGCCCCC